CCCCCCCCCCCCCCCCCCCCCCCGGAGCCCTATCATTATGTTGTACTAGCTTTGCTCGGGGTTAACGCCTTAGCGTCACTTCTCCTACTGGTCTACGAGGCGGAGGCTTTTACATCAACATTGCTGCCTAGCCTTTCACAGTCACACCTAGCTTCTAGATCTATATTGCTTTAGATTAGGCCTGCCTTGATTATCTCATCTCTTGATCTGCATTGCTTTAGTGGGGAGGACTTCCGTAACGAGCGACCACTATAAAATCTAGATTATACTAAGTGGCCATCACAAGAAAGCACTAAAAAATAATAATCCTCGAAAGGGCTGCTTCACTGTAAAAGGAACACACTGACGTCTTCAAAATCACAGAGACAGTGACTAATAGCTAGTTTGCTTTCCTCTGACAGCGTTTACAAAAATTCTAGCTCATTGAAAAATGTATCTATGCCCACGAAACTTTGCGTGGCACTTCTACAGGCTAGCGATCAAACAAAAATATTTCTTTAAAAAATCTTGACCCAGTACTAACAAAGTTTTTCTCTTTGGGCCCTATATTAAATACAACTCTTTCAATGCATGCACAGGATCACGTCTCCGCGTACAACAGGTGTGTCTCGAAAATTACTCACCCCGTCTCTTGAATTGTGTTTTTTAGGCGAACGTTAAAGAGCGGTAATGAACTTCCGTTGTGGAGAGAGCTACGCAGATTTGTTTCGTTTCTCAGTAGAATAATCACAAAGGTCAAAGAAGGACGGGAACTTTTTGTCAATTATATTTTTCTAAATTCAGGAAATGAATAAATAAAAAATCGGGCTCCGTCATGGGGACCTATCTATCTTTTTGCAGGTACTTGTTAACTTTCAACTTTGTAGCTGTCGTAGTTTTATGGGAAAAGTGACACATGTGTTTCCAAGTTGCCAAATATAATATAATAGATAACCTCTTTGGATCTGAGTCAACGCGTCGTCTAACCAGAGAGTATTTAATTATATTTTATGGTCTCTGGTCTAATTAATTAGGTGGACGTGTATGTGAATGAACTCCGCAAACACAAGGGACAGCCCACAGAGCTGAGGTCAATCACCACCATGAGTGTGTCGAATGTCATCTGCGCCATTATCTTTGGCAGGCGGTACGAACTGGATGACAAGCGGTTTGCCAAAATGGTGTACATCTTCAAAGAATTGGTAAATATTATTGTAGGGTTTTTGTGATTTTTGTTGCTGTACATACGTCTCTCTCTCTCTCTCTCTCTCTCTCTCTCTCTCTCTCTCTCTATCTATTC